AAGTTTCAGCTGGCAAAAGTCTTGGGTATTGGTATGGACAAGGACTGGAATAGAGAACCACCATGTGAGTGATACCCCAGATTTCTGTAAACTGTCCCTGTATTCAACTAATTAAGGGAAAGTGATGCTGCTCTCATTAGGCTGCTACAACAGAAACATGATGAACAGATTTCTCCAGGGGGCAATATTTAAGACTTTTGCAGAAACACTTCCTATTGAACAGACAATGTTGAAATACGCTTGTTTGCTGAAAGTGTGTTTGCTTAGCCATGGAACTTTTATTCAACAGGAGACCATTACACTGTCATAACATCTGATTCCACTTACATTACTGCTTAATTAACACTGGAACATTTAGCAGCTATTAGAAGAGACAGTCTCAAGCATCTCAGATTTCAGCAGAGCTCATAGGCAGACTACATTTCATGCAATACTTCAGAGATACAATTTGAATTAACAAAACTAACATCATCTTTGACTCATTTCATCTTTCTAGAGGAAAAGTATTTGCATATATGCCATGCTGATCTTTCTAGATGCTACAGTAAAAAAAAGCACTTGCCCTGCTTTAAAAGAATCTTTGAAAATTTGGTCTTACTTTGTAATAGATGGGGTACAAAGTACAAGGGGTACAAGGCACTAGATAAATTAAATTAAACTAAAAAGTTAGTAAAGGTTCCCCGGTAAGATTAATTAAATAAAAGACTGCTTTTCACACAGAAAGCATATGCTTAGGCACATACTTAGATACATAACAGTGCATGTGTGCGGTAAACCAAGAACATTCTTCTCTGTTTGACAAAGTGCTAGTCCTCAAAAAACACTAGTCTTACACTATTTATCCTTTAATTCCGAGATTCATGGTCCAGAATTAAAAGGTCCATGTGTAAAACTTGTTTTCTTTACAGACCTGAATGAAAGAACGCAAATTCAGAAGAACATATCCATGACTTAACAGAGCTGCAAGTCAAGTCCTGTATGAAATTATCTTTATTGCACAAATAAAAGTGTAATTTAATGCTTTAGTCATTCCAATAATTTGCAAACCATGACTTGCTAAGCCTATAGAATGTATTAGTTTTTAACTTCAATTGCTATCTTTAATACAGTAAAAGACTGTTATAATGTAAAAAAAATAAATCACAATATCTATGATGCCAATACATTAAAAAAAAATCCAGAAGTGTTGTCTCCCAGAACTCTTATTCCAGCATTTATCACAGGTAATAATTATTATTAGGCACACTATAAATATTCTTAGATATTGAATTTCATAGCCTGTTCACCTCAATGCATTAATAAATATTTTGCTTCTGTTTCTTAAATACGTGTTTTACCTGGCATGAGTTGTAATGAAGGCTGTAGCCTCAAAGTCAACCACAGGGTATTTTACTGTTATGACTTTACTATTATGACAAAAATGTATGCCTAGAATTTGACATTCCCTCCCTTAAGAAAAAAGTGAGTATGGTAATTATACAGGATTTAAGAACCTCTTTCCTTTCCCCCCAGTATTAAAATTGCATTTTCTAAGATTAAAGTTTCTGGATTTCCCTTACTGACCTGTCAGTTTAGTAAATACAACATTTCTAGAGGCGGTGTGTAAAACACTGATACATATTTTTTGGATATATATTTTCTGTCAAAAGAGCAGAAAGGTACTTTCAACCTAACAAAGACAGTAAGTTTAACATTAATATAACAAACTTTAGGGTGAAAGAAAAACTTCAAGTGCTACAAATTGGACACAATACAGAAGAATACGCTTAATAATGCTGGGGAACTTTCTTGCATAGATTTACCGATACAGAATTAGGAAAGATCAGGGGGAAAAGTATCTAGATGTTACAGAAGAAAATCATCTGTGTTTCATTAGAAGGATTTTCCAAGTTTATTCTCTTGTAAAACTTGCGCTGGTATAATTTTAACACAATATACAATACAATGTGGAAAATATACAAATATAACCCCCCCAGCAAGCTTTATACAATCCAGTATATCACGGAAAACACTTTTTATTATTCCTTCTATTTCAAAGTTGGGTTGGTTTTCTTTCTCTCAAAAAATGCCACAACCCTCTACAACAGTTTCTCACAGTCCATGTTTTATTAAAGATACACAACAAATCCAGATGTCAAGACATCAGTGTTGTGTAAATCTCTGATAACACATTCAGCTACCTGTTTATCAGCTGCGTGGAAAGTCATACTTTTGTTCTGGAGGAAGTGCAGTGTTAACATGAAATACCATTTAATGCTAACATGTGTACAGAAACTGAGGAAAAATCCAAAAGTTCTATTATTCTGAATTTTTAGAAACCCTCACTTGGACAGCATAGAGTGGAGTTCAGGTTCAGAAGTCAGCAGCAGTGCTCATAAGAAATATCTGAATACTTTGGCATGCAAGGATAAAAGAAGTGTTTGAGAAATGTATCTATAATAGTGAAAAGAGCAAAGTTGAGATACAATGCAAAAGGATTTCCAAGGGACAATTATAGCATCCACTACAAGAAGAAAACAGAAAAACAGACTAGTTTCACAGTTGTGAATATAACTTTTGTGAAGCTCACCATTTTCACCTCCTTGGGAGACACACACTCCAAGCCCTTTCAATATTTAGACCGGCGCTTCAAGAGTTTATTTATTCGTTTTTATCCTTCAAAGGAGCACTGAACTAAGTTGGTGACAAAACTTAAGACTGCATAAAGCATAGGTATATAAAAGCCCATGCATACAATTTTAATTGCATATTATTCTGTGCAGTATTTCTTGAAATAGAATATTCTATTTAATTTGTGAAGGTAATATCTTATTTAATTCAATGTCTGGCATTTTCCTTAAGTATGTCTTTGATAAAGATAGTGGGAAAAATTTTGTCTCTGGAAAAATATATCACAAGCAGAAGATTACATTTGTTGCTTCTTGTTATGCCAACTTTATTATACTAAGGAAACTTTTACAACAAAATACAACAAGTTTATGAAGTTACTGTATGAGTTTCTCACAGAACATTTTCAAGTCAGGCAAGAAACACAACAAATGTTGAGAGTGCAGAAGCTGATTTACTTATCATTTAGTTACTGAAGTACACTGTTTACACTAGAAAGTTATTACTAAAAAACACACAATTACCTTAGCTGTTTAGTTATTGAAGAACGACAAGAGGCATGTAGCTATACCACCCAGTATCCAGGGTCCACAATATTAATCAGTAAATATTTCTAATCAGTATAAGTGGCATAAAGAGACATAAAATTCAAGCATTAGGTAGTTAGTAGCATAAAACTCAAGTTCAATTATCAATTCAGTCAAGTGATGTCAGTAGAAGATGGAAGGAGATTTCACTGGACAATATGGAAAATATTGCCTCCCCTTCACTTTGGTTTCACACAAATTTCTGCAGCATTTAGCTATATTTATGTATCAAAGGAAAAGTGATAAAGATAGCAGGAAACATTCAGTCTTCCCTTAGCCAGTGCTCTAAAACTGGGCAAAGGTTGTCCCAGTGTTGCTGCCCAACCAACAACTAAAACCACAGCCCTTTCAGAAGTGTTACCATCAGTGCAATGTAATTATTAAACATTCTAACACTCTATTCAGTTCCCTGGAAGAGTGAAGCTTACTATTTTAAGATAGCCTACCTATTTAAATGTCATTAACTATCCAATTAGTGCAGTCTGCTCTTTGCTGGCTGCAGAGTACTGGGATAATCTTTTAATTGTTAACCACTATTGAATAATTTTAGCAATTACGCTTTTATACATTCTATGCTAATTGAGACAGACTACCCCTAGAATCTCATCATTTCCAGCACACAGTGACAAACAGAAAGACGATCAATGGTTGATAAAATAAGCGTGTGACCAGGAGTAACGTTAACACCGTGGGACACCGTCTCCAGCTGCAGCCCCCGCAGGAAGGTGCGCACCACCCGCTGCTCTCCGCGCACTGCCCGCCGCATCCACCCATCCCAGACCCACTCCGGCCACCGAGGGCACCGGGTCGCTTCGCACAGCGCCTACAGCTCGCAACGTTGCTTAAGCCGAAATAAATCACCGCCGCCGCTCCCCACGGCTCCACCTGCCGGGCGCCCGCGCCCCGCAGCGCCCCGCTCGCTCCCTCCCTCCCCGGGGGCGCCGCCGCCGCGGAGCGGCCAAAGCCGCCCGGCGCCCCAGCGCGCACCTTCCGCGCAGCCGGGGGAAAGCACCGCGCCTGTCTCTCCTCCGGATCGGCAAGTTTCTCACCCTCCTAGGAGGAGACGTGCCTCTGGGGGCTGCTGCCGGGCTCCCACGAGCCGCCGCAGGGCACAGGCTCCCCGCAAGGCAAACCCTTGGAGGTGCTGGAAACAAAGCGAAATTACCTAAAAGGGCACAGGTCTGCGCGGCGGCGCCGCCAGTCGCCCTACGCCGGTGGGCGAGGCGCCCCTTCACCTTGTCTCCGCAGGACGGTGCCTGTTGCACGGGCCCCGCGGGTTCCCTGCAGGGCAAAAAGAACTTCGTGCCGCCCCCACTCCGCGAACACGCGTGGGGGCTCCGGGCGGCGGCCCCGAGCGGCGGCAGAGACGCGCGGTTCGGACAAGCCCTCTCTCCCGCCAAAGGCTAAGCTGTGCTCTGCAGAGTGGGACCCCCCTTTCTCCCCCTCCCCGACTTCCCTCTGCGCAAAACCAATTAACCCCGAGCGCTCGCCCTCCCGCAGAAGACGAGACAGGGGGTGCGGGAGCCGACAGGAGGCAAAGTTTGATAAATGAGCGGCTCCTGCGGTGACAGGTGACTACGGAGCGGAGGCATCCTCCGCGCTCGGCTGGGCAGAAGTGCGGGAAAGAAGCACTCACCTGTCCGTTGTCCCTCCGGCAGCCGCGGAGGGGAAGGCGAGAGACACAGCCCCGCACTCCTTTCCCGTCCGTCGGCCCCAGCGGCGGGCAGGATGCAGGGCTGGAGGGCCCGCAGAGCGGAGGGGCCGACCCGGGCCGGCACCCGTCAGCGGAGCAGGTGAAGCGGGGAGGTCGCCGCCGGCGGAAAGCAACACGTTTGGCTCTGAACTTTGCAGCTCCAGTCACAAACAAACAAATACAGCCCAGGAAGGACCTCTCCCATCAGATCCCAGACTGCTCGGCAGCCGCTGCCTCTCTTATTGGTGCGGAGGTTATTTATTTATTTGATTTCTCCCTCCCCCACCCACCCCCTCCCCGTCCACACACCCCTTTGCCTTCCACTTCCCCTTCCCTCCCCCCGCCCCGGCCTTCCCTCCCCTCCCGCACGCCGCCCAGGCAGCCGCGGTCCCTGCGCGCCGCTCAGCGCAGCAGCGGCTCCTCTGCGGCCGCCGGCAGCGCCGGGTGCCGGGCGAGGGGCGGGCGCGCTGCGGGGAGGCGGGAGCGGAGGCGGGCGGGAGCGGGGCAGTCGCCGCACCGCTGCCGGGCGGTTGCGGAGAGCAGGCAGGAGCTGCTCCCGCATGCCCCGTCCCCCCGCACCGGAGAGCGGAGGCGGGAGGGTGATCCCCGCCTTGCCGCTGGTCACGGCAGGGACAGGACGGCCGGGCAGGGGGATGATGGAGCCGGGAAGGAGGGTGGCCGGCGCGTACCGGGCGGCTGCCGCCAGGAGCCCGGGGTGCCCCGCAGCGTTGTTTTGCGGCCCTCGCCCGTGGGGACCGCCGGCGGCCGCGATGCGGCGGGAGCTGGTTCGCCGCGGTGCGGGAGCGGCAGCGCCGGGTGGGAGCAGGGACACGGGAGGGGATGCCGCGCTGGCGGTGTGCGCGCACGAGCAGGCTGGGATGCCTGTGTGAGTGTGTAAGTGCTTCTGTGTGTGTTCACGTACGTGTGCCTCCGGTAACGTTGCACGGAGCTTGCTTTCAAATAGAACCCAGGCTCTCTAGCCGCAGTGTACTTGGTGTGCATCGCTTTTACGTTTTGCTCCAGCTTATGCGTGATCAGTGCACAGCAAGCTTCATTTCACCTCTGTCTTATCGGATGCTGAACCTTGGTCTGCTGGGTTTTGTTGCCCTTTTCCTCCCCCGTCCCCTAAATCCACATGCAACTCGAGCAGCACGGTAGGTCTCACCTGTCCATTCCTGAGAGCCAAGTACACCACTACGATTATCGTAAGGAAAGGGAACATAAGTTAAAAGCTGCTGAAGTATGACTGCATGAAGGATTCCCTTCACTGTGCCTGCAGTATCCGTCCTAGCTCAGCTTCTCATTGCAGCTGGCAGTGGAAAAAAATGTTTCTGTCCCACAGTGGCTGTTTTTATAACGCTATACACACACGTGACAGACACAATATTGACATTCTTGTCTTCTCTCCCATCTCTCTCCCTTTAGAAATTTGAGTTCAAATTAGATACCCCAGTGGTAGAAGATAGAAGTTTAAAATCTGTGAAGTTGGTACAAACTCTGCCAAATGTTTGGGAGGGGATGTGTGTGTGTGTTATTTGGTCGATTTGTTTTTGCTGGATAAAATTTCCACCCTGCTCCCCTGGCAGTAAACAGACATTCTGGATGTTCTTTTTTACTTCCAAGGGAGAGAAAAAAAAATCACAACAATAGACAAACAAGGAAATAAAAAATATGGGTAGAGATTAAACAGTTATTTAACAATATTACTAGGAAATAAAGCTTAAATTATACCTCTATTAAGGTGACAAGACATAGAGATGTAAGGATTGCTTTTATCCTAAGTCAGTCAATGAATTTATGTAGATTCATCATTTCAAACAAACGGTACAAATCTTTCTTGTGCTACAACTCTGTAATTCTACCTTTTTCAACTGAAGACAATAAAGATTAATGTACGTTTTGTCTTCAGTAGTAAATCCTATTGTCAAATGGCGAGAACTTTTTATTCAAAGAATTAGATCAATGGTTGACTTTGTTTTGAAGCTTTTATTTAAGAAGCTACTTAAAAAGAATGAAGTTCATGCTCCTAACATCCTTAAAGAAATCTCTCAAAGGCAATTATTCTATTTGCCAATCTGGCAGTCACTGCCATGTAGCAACAAAAAGCATGAAAGCTAGATGTGGAAATCCCTTTGGGTTCAGACAGTGCTTTCTCAGTGGAAGAAGAACAGTAGGAAATTAAAAAGTGAAAAGCACTTTAAAAAATCTATTTGAATATTTTAAAGAGCTTGCTTTGAATAGGTGAAGTTTCATCTCTAACCAGTAAGCTTCAAGGTCAATGAAATGCAAATGACAGATGCGTTCCGTGCCTGAAAGAATGCCACCAACTTTAGGTAATGTTTAGTGAACAGTATTAAAAAGTTCACAGTCTGACTATTATTTTAATTTGTAAATTCTGTGTTCAGCAAGTATTTGTTCAGAAGAGCAGAAAGTGTCTTCCACTGGAATAAACTACTAAATTTTCAAAATATGGGAGATTAATGAAGAAACTACTTTACTAATGATGGGCCTGTAACAACACTCGTAAACATCCGTGAGAAGACACTGAATTTTTTCAGTTAAAATTAGTTTGACTATTATCCTGTAATACACTATTTGAAATTTCAGCTGCTTCTTAAATCTTAAAAAGCAATTTCATTGTGAGTAAACCAAGACTTTTATTTTTGTATGGATTCTAAGAAAAGGAAGCACTATGTAAAGCCCATAACAAGATTGATCATATACTATCACATTAGATCTGCTTCCGTCAAAATTAATTTGTTAGGCCACTGGATACAGCTCCATAGGACTTTGATTTGACTAAGTCAAGCTAATAATGAATTTAGTGGCTACTTAATATATTGCCTCTTCACTGGAGTTATGCAAGCAGAATATTATTCTGTGTTGTGGAGTCTTAGCTGAGAAACATGAAAGACAGCTAGGAATAAATAGCTAAAGTTAAGAAAACCAGGAGTAAGAAAGGAATAAAAGTAGAAAGGAAAAAGAGAAAGCAAAGCTATGTTTTCTAAAATTTTTTCTTGTGTTGTTTACTTACCTTCATTTGGCTTCTTTCATCATTTAAATCCCTGTGATCTCACACTTGGCATTTTGGTGTTTTAAAGGGCTTCAAATTGAGACTGCTAAAAAAATTTCAAATAAATAAAAGCAGCCCCCACTACCACCCACCAACACTGATACAACCCTAAAAATAGCTTTCTTTATTCTCATATAATGGCCTGTTTTTTGTCTGGACTCTTAAAATCATACTTTTAAGGGCTTAAAGAGCTGCTAACCTTGCATGTAGCTCCTGATACGCATCCCGTGCAGTGTGTTGTACTTCAGAAATCCATTTAATGATCTCAGCAGAAAATCAAATGTATGTGTTAATAGTTTAAAATCAGTCAAATCTGAGCAAGTTCTATTTAAATATCAAGAGAGACAGCTCGTCAGTAAGGAGTTTCTCCAAAACAAACACTGTTTTTTGCCCTTGGCACTTTATCTGATCAGGAGGCTTTTTTAAAAAAAGACAGATTTTTCTTCCACATCTGAACAAGCAAGTTTCCCCTCCTTTTTCAATTTCTCTTTAGGTAGCTGAAATGCTTTTGATCACAATTTATAAGTACGTCAGGCAAAGCTGTGAGTAAACTAGCAAGAATATATCGTACAGTTTTAGCTTTCAAATTGTGCAAAAAAATCATATGCTGGCATATGTTATAGAGACTCAAGAATTCTGTGTGTCTACATGTTAAATTTATGGATGGATAACATTTAATACATTATGAAATCTTATCTAACAATTATGGTCTTATAAAGATTTAAGGAATAGTTTTTTCAGCTAGCCAGGATTTGGAATATTTTACTACTGTGAGCAATTGAAAGTCAAGAAAAGCTAGGAATTCTCCCTTTTTCAGACACAGTAAGAAAGGTGTGGCATTTACCTTAGCCTATTCAAGGGCTACTAGAGAATTCGGTCTTTGGACTGCTCTCCAGTTTATGTAAACAAAGATGAATGTATAAAACTGATCAAAAATGTGCTAAGATTTCATATTTTAAAGGGAATGCATGACAATAAACAGATACAGAAGAGAGAAAAAACATAAGGACTGGATAAAAGAAAGAAAGTCTGTAACCTTTTAAGGAAATGTTGATACTCTCAGGCTGTTGGAAAAAGAGGATTTGCTTCCCTGTGAATTAAACCTTTGAGTTGATATGATAACTTTTGTATGTAAGTTCTGGGTCTGATCACCTCTGTTTGGTAGGGGGAAAATGATTTCTTCTAAGGAAAAATATAACCTCAGGTGAGGTCAATGGCTTCTAGATAAAAAAGAAAGAGCCTTTGGTAATGGGAATTATTTGAAGTCTACTTCTGTTCTGGTAACTATGATGATCTTCATCTTCTGACCTCATCACAGTTTATGACTTCCTAAAGGGGGACAGTGGGGAGGCATATGCTGATCTCTCTTTTGATAGAGACATGAACCAATGTGACACAAGGAAATGGACTGAAGCTGTGTCAGGGGAAGTTCAGGCTGGACATGAGGAAAAGGTTTTTCACTGAGATTATGGCTGTCACTGGAACAAGCTCCCCTGGGAAGTGGTCACAGCACCAAGCCTGTCAGAGTTTAAGGAACATCTTGATAATGCTCTCAGTCATGTGTTTTAGTCTTAGGTATTCCTGCAAGGAGCAGGGAGTTGGACTTGATTATCCTGATGGGTCCCTTCTAACTTGAGATATTCTATGATTCTATTCTATGAATGATAGGGTTCTCACATGGGCCATTATTATTACTCTAAAGCATTCGTGTATGGCTCCATGTCACCAGTGTTCCTCAGCAACTAGGAAGAGATTCTTCATCTGTGTCAGATGCACTGGTAAATTTTTATGTATGTCATAAAGGAAGCTGAAAAGAGTACTTTTTTCTATATTTTGAGGATACTTGAATACCATTCACTGCAATGATACATTGTAATTGTCATGATTATTGGTCATTTGTCCAGGGAATAGTGATGCCCAGGTCAGAGCTGTAGAGCTGAACCAAAAAGCTTCCAAACTGATGAGTTTATGATCATGTTGATGGGTGACCTGCTGCTGCAAAACATGGCTGAATTCCTGAAGCTGAAACTGATGTGAGTTGGATTATAAGTGTTCTGCTGATCCTGAGCAGTGGGAGATATCATAGAGATGTCAGAGAATCATAGAATGATTTAGGTTGGAAAGCACCTTAAAGACCATTAGTTCCACCTCCCTCCGCCCACCCCTTGCACC